AGGCTATTGATAAGATTGCCCTTTTCTTGTAATATTACTAAGATGTTTGTAAATGATGGAGACTATCACTTTAACCATTTGTTTTCTGTCCTTCCCTTTATTCTTGGGCAGCCAGGAGCTCCTGAGGATTATCACACATATTCCACAGGGGCCAGGGCGGGGGGCGGGGGGGGGTGGCGGGGGTGCTCTAGCTTGTGCTTGACCCCCAGCTTGCCTTATGGTCCCTAATCAAGCTGTGTGTCACACAGTGGTACAGCCAGGATTATGAACCTGGGCAGGCTGTGTCTCTAGTCCGTGCTCTTGACCTCAACGATATATAATTTCCTAAAGGTTGTTCTGACCTATCTACTTCTCTTCATCTCCAACTCTCTGCCCGTCATTCCAGACCACCTCTCCCCCAGATGGTGCCGTCTAAGCAGAATGGAAAACTCCTCTACCCTTTGAGGTTCAGTAACTAGAGCCTGTGAATTAAACTGACAAAAAGAAATTTAAAAAAAATAATAAACTGACAAGAAACAGATTAGCAAGAAAAAAGATTTTTGTTAGAGTACTAGGCAGTTAGAATTTGGGGGCTTATATACCAATTTAATACAGGAAGCAGAGAGGAGAATGTATTTACAAGGAAAACAAATGACTTTTAGGAAAGATAAATGGGTCCTCAAGGAGAATAGATGAGAGGTATTGATGATGGTTTTGAGAGAATGGGTTTATCAGGTGATAAAAGCCAATCTCTCCCCGGGTGCTCCCAGGGAGGGGATTTAGGACAATTGAGATATATTAGGAGGCCTTGCTGTTAGGCAGATAAAGGAGTTCAAGGGAAAGCATATTTTCAAATGCTTTCAGCTCAAAATAATTTTCATGCCACAGTGGTGTATTCTGGAGTCCTTCACCTACAACAGCTCCTGGCTCATCTCCCTGCTTTCTTTCTTACTCTCTCCAGTCCTTTCTCTCTACCTGTGGTAGGTGATCAGTTCAAAATGTAGAGACCTTTGTATATGCTGACCCACCTGGCCATCTTTGCTGAGGCAACTCCTCCTCCTCCCCTGGGTCATACTGCTAACTCCATTTTCCCAGGAAGGCCCACTGTGTTTGGACAAGCTAATTTCCCCTATTGTAAGCTTTCGGAGCCCCATGGACTTTACCTTTCCAGTAGTGGGTGAAGTGGCCAGGGACAGGGCAGGGCAGGGACCAGGTAGATGTCAACGCACATGTGTCTGTGTTGCTAGTGACTCAAGCATGTCTAGCACATGGTGGGCACTCAGAACATTTGTTACGAATGAATATGGAAATGAGGCATCCAAGGAAAGAAGGGCCAGCTGAGGGGTGAGGTGAGGCTTACGCCAGGACTTCCAAACTCTCCTGTGTGGAAAGACCTTTAACATCTGGAGAAGGCAAAGGATCTCTTAGAACCATGTTTTGAAATCCTTAAAATAAAGTATGTTGTGATGAGGGACCATAAGACAAGCTGAGGGCCAAGCACAAGCTAGCACAGCCCAGATGGGACATATGTGATATTCCTCAGGCACTCCTGGCTTCCCAAAAACAAAGGAAAGGACTGAAAACAAATAGTTAAACTGATAAAAGTCTCCATCAGTTTACAAACATCTTAGTAATATTACCAGAAAAGGGCAATCTTATCAATAGCCTAATCTCCAGGAACTCCCTACCATCTTAATGTTAATGCTCTGTTAGAGGGAAAAACAGCCTGAGTTTGATAATTACTAGGCCTCCAGTAATCTATAAATCCTCTTTAGCATATGAAAATCACTTTAAGAAATTTCCTCTTGACTTTACCTCCCCCAACTCCACAGTATATAAGCAGTCACTCTCCACAACCCCAGTGCAGCTCTTCCTGCCCACAGGTCCTGTCCCTTAATAAAATCACCTTTTTGTACCAGAGCC